TTTCCATCTCTGAATCGGAGTATTCAAATCTTGTGAAGATAAACTTCTAGTTGAGGACTCATTCAAATACTTTTCATAGGTTGATTTAATTTGACCTTCAGTAAACTTTCCAGTCTGAAACCTTTTTCCTTGTCCCTCAATCCAATAATTCATTGAATGAACTTCTGATTTTCCTTTTGTGCTTGAAACTTTTGTTGGTTTGTGATTGAAGGATTTGAAAATTTTGGCTTTGTGGAGTAAATTTCGTTGATGATTTGAAAGCTTCGTGCAAAGGTGGTTGAGTATTTGATGATTTGCGAACACTATTAAGTTTTCGATCATTCACAACGTTTTGTGAAGTCTTATACTTTCGAATGTTTTCAAATTTTCGAACATATTCAACCTTTTGATTAATTGGAAAAGTGTCTATTAAATTCGTTGGTTGGTGAAAAGATGTGTTTCTTGGTTTTTCTTTGAATATTTTCTGTTGAACACTCATTGATTTTGCAACATATGTTGAGTTGGATTTTGAAACAATATTTTTCATTTCTGAAACTTTACATTTGGTTAAAGAAAGTTTTTTTAGATACATCAAAAAATTACCTTTCATGCTTTTCTCTTTAAAACTTTATAATTTTTCGAAAACTTATCAACAAGCTCTTTGAATTCATTTGAATTAAGTTTCACAATTGGAGTTGATTTAACAACTCTTTTGTAACAACTTCATTTTCCTTTTCAGATTTAACAACCTATTTTTGTTTTGGTTTCTATTGTTGAAAAACATACGATTTTTTAGTGATGTTGTTTTCAACAATATTCTGATTTGCATAGAACCCTTCGTCTGTGGAACGTTTGTTGTCCTCTTCGACGAACTTGTTGAATTCTTGCTTTATATTCTCTAAATTTCCAGTGGTGACGAAGAATTGATTTGGAAACACTACATTATCAGTGCATGTAAAATTTGGATATACAATGGTGTTAGTTTCCATAAAATGTGCTCCTTTGTCACTCATCACTTTGTCAAACTTTTCAGTGTCTCCATACACTTGGTCTACAACAACTCTTGGAATTAAAGTTTCGTTTAAAACTTTCTTTTCTTCCTTACACACATTCAAAGCTTGATTTTCGTCCTCCTTATCATCACTACTATCAGCCTGACTGTCATGTACTTCCACATCATCAAAGTCAGAAATTTTTGAAGTAGAGGGTTTTGCAATGTCATCCTCCACCATCGAATCATCAACAATTTGTTTACCATTGATCTTAGATGTGATATTAATGATAGATAACTGAGAACAATCAATACTTTAATCTTCTTCAATTTCACTGATTTCACTAATAATATCTGAATTCTCATCGACATTAGCAAAATTGTTTTGGAAATCAAGTTTCGAATGTTCAGTTCTTTTCAAGATTTTCACTTGTTCATCTTTTGTTAAACTTTCATTAACAATGTTAACCAATTCGTCTGCATTTAAAAACTCATCTATCTTAATAATGCCATATGCAAACTATCATCTGGTACTTTGTCAATTTCATCTATTGTATGTTCACAATCGTATGTCATCACATCAACTTTTTCTCTTTCAAATGCAAGAAAAGGTAGCAATTTACCATGTTGTTCTTTGCTAATGTAAGAAGAATGATGTAAAGCAGTTAATTTTGCATATAAATGTTTGGCTAAATTACAGTAAATGTTTCGTTGTTTTAACAACAACCTGACATCTTTGTCTAAATCTTCCCTATCGTTATTGACATTTTGTAATTGCAATTCTAGATATTATACTCCGCTTCTTTTTGTTTCTAACAACTTTCGTGTCTCTAGCAATTGATTATTTAGTTTCTTGGCGTTGTTACTAGCAGACACAACAATAGCATCAAAGTAAGCAACAATATCATCGAATGCAATTATTTCAGAATCATATGCATGTAAAGGAATATTTAGAGATTCAACAATTGAACGTACCTTGGTTGTCATAGGAGATTTGTCAATCGTCTTTGTAACAAAACAACGTCCATTTACCTCTTCCTCTTCTTCCTCCTCAAAACTTGTGAACATGACAACATGAGTCGGATGCCTCATCTCATAATCATCAGAACTGGATGACCAGAACTGATACGTGCCACTTTCTTCATCTTCACTCTCCCTTCTTTCCACTAGAGACAAAATTTTTTCCTTCTCACAAACTTCCTCCAACTTCTCCACATAATACGCTTCATCCTTGTTTTTGTTTTTCTTTTCTTCTTTCTTACGAAGCATACAGTCAACTGCAAAATGATCCGAACCATTTCAGTAATAACAGTCGATGCCAGAATCTCCTTTCAACTTCCTTTCACCTTTAAACTCCTTCATTTTATCATCCTTCTTCCCAAAATTTTCAAACTTCTTCTTCACTAGTCTTCGTAGAGTTACCCTTCAACTCACTCTTCTTCCCTTTAGGATTAAACAACTTTTTGAAAAACTTTTTAACTTGGTTATTCGAGTAAAAAGCCACAGCTTCATCATTAGAATTCAATAGAAAAACTTCTTCATCTGAATTTTCTTTTCCAGCATCCTCCACTTCAGATACCTTCGAAACTAACGCCAGTGGTCCTCCAAGACTCATCTTCAACTCTTCAGCTATTTTAGAACTTCACTTTCATGTGTCTTTAACTGATTGTAAACATCATTAAAAGACGAACAATCGAAGCTCTACTGATTTTTAATCATCATGCTGACACTTCTCCACTCCTTCCTCAATCCCATCACAAAAGTAAGATTATACTCTATTAAGGACCTCGTTATTCCATAGTGGTTGCATCTGTAGATTAACTCATTCAGATGATCATAATAGCTTTCAATTGATTTTTTTTTTCCTTCTGTCTGAACTCCTTTAATTCAACCAAACATTGCTTTACAGAGTTGATCTTTGTCTTTTCACTTCCTTGATACTTCTCTTTAAGAGTATTCCAAATCTCCTTTTCTGTTTTACAACCACCAATGTAGTTGTAAACAACAGGTGGAAAAGAACCTCTTAACTCTCTCATGCATCTCTTTTCATTGTTGTTCAATCTAGTTTGTTGATCTTCAACAGCAGAAGTAGCTCTAGACGAACCCTGAGTTTGAACATTTGCAGATGGTTGAACTGATCCATTGATGCACATCCATAACTCTTCATCAATCCCATTGAGATAATTCTGCATACGATCAACCCACTGATCATAGTATTCAACATCGGAATTTTGGTTGATGATCCAAGCAGATGAGAAAAAGAAGTCATTGAATTGATATTGAAATTCGCCATTGATGAACATATGAAGTTTTTCGAGATTTTTGAATTAACAACGAGAATTTGAAAAATGATAATCAGAAATGATTCAGATACTTCAGAAAATCACTCGATTCAACAATCCAAAAGCAGAATCTAATCACAATCTTAGATCTGGAATAATTTTTCAATTTCAAAAAGAGCGGAAACTTTTGAATCAAAAGGTTGATTCAAAGACTTTTTGAACAATTGAATGTCAGATTACAGAAATGATTCCTGCTCTGATACCAATTGATGAAAAAAAGAATCGAGTATGAAATGAATCAGATTAAATGTTTATGAATCAATTAGTAATTGAACACACGATGTAAATGAGATCTTCACTCCAGCTCAATTACGCTTTAAGAGTTTTTACAGAGAGAATAGAAAATTTTGTTCAAGTCCTCTAACGCTAGTAAACGATCTTATTTATAGGATACATAAAGCGTATAAAAAATATACTAAGGCTAAAACACTTAAGCTTTAAGTCAAACAAGCCCTAGTAAAATATTTTACAGAACATACGAAGAGTACACAAAAGGCTTCGACTCATTACAACCAAACTACCCTTACACACACGTGGGGCACTAGGCTCTTGAGCTCCATGGAATCAATCACCAACAAAGACGTATGTAATTCTGCTAATTTTATATTACTTGTACTTCATAATATAATAGTTAGGATAATACCTTGGAAAATTGATGTTTGCATGTGTAATAGAGAAAACATAGATCCAAGGTATTTAGGGTTGCATGTACACCAAAGGAGTGTTAGAATGCTCAAAACCCAACAACAACATCAAATGGCTAGGGTGTTTTGTTATGATAAGATAATATGTTGTAATTTTGTCATAGCTCAGTTTGGTTGATGAAATTTGATTAACCTAGATCTTGATTTAGTCGATCGACTCGTGAGTAGGTTGTCCAACTCGATCGTTTGTTGATAGGTAAAATTTTCTTGTTCCTTTGGGAAAATTCTTGTGCACTTTCAGTGTTCAAAAGACCCTACTTAATGGAATTAAATCGACTTAGAATTTTGGCTCAGCCTTGTCTATGTTCTTTTCTGATGGATTTCTAAGGAGAAGCGAATTATTCGAAGGACTATGTGATTCTATATTCGGTAAAGTCTTTCACAATCAAGGATTACAAGTATTGGTCGAGCCAGTATGGGTTTTCGATGCAATACATTACAACCAGATGTAGTTCAACCCCTTAGTGAGTATCCTGGTCGAAATGTTTTTAGATACTCGTTCTCAATAAGTGGGGATAATTCCTTGTTGGGGGGGGGGGGGTGGGGGGGGCAGTTGATGGATTAATCTATAGAACCCTTTTGTTGGTGCATTAAAGGAGTTACGTAGAAGTTGTATCCTACACTTTAGCCGAGACGGATTGTGAGGACAAAATTCAAATCAAGTGGGGAGAATTGTAACACTCGGTTCCAGTTTTACCATCTTAGAGGATTATTAATATTAAGATTATTAATTATATAAAAATGAGGAGTCGTTATCGTTTCATTAATTTAACAGTGTATTTATAGGTTTTTGTTGCTTAATAAATAAAAAATAATTAATTAATAATTATTATAATAAAAATTAAAAAAATCAATTTATTTTAATACAAAATAAGTTTTATAAGTTGACGGGTTTGTCCTTTAACCGGTTGTTATTCTTTGTCAACGCTACTAAGGACCTATAGGTTCGCAATAATTCAAATTGGTTATTTTAAAAAGAAAAGGATGGCAACCGGCACCCGTATCTGGAAACACCGATTCGTGGATATTGGTACTGTCACTGCACAGCAAGCAAAGGATTGGGGATTTAGTGGTGTAATGTTAAGAGGTCGTGCCACTCACCCCCAAGTACGACTCTTTTGGACCCTTCGCCCGCCTGCCACCAGTGGAAGCAAGCACCTTGAATGGAATTTCCATCGCGACTAGAAATCAGTTTGGTAAAAGAATTGTTGATTGGGGTCTAATCTGTCAATATGTTAAACTCCAAGAACCAAGGCTACCAAACTCAAAAGTTGAGTTGTATTCTTCCCCATTTGACCGACACAGAGTTCGTGCCTTTTCTATCTTGTTTGGAACCTGCAGCAAACCTTTAGATCGAAAGGGGAATCTATCGAGCCATATTTAACCCTATTTAATCTATCTTATGAAGATACTAGGATTTAGGGAGGAAGAGAGTGAGGCATCCGCCTTACGAGTGTATGAGTGTATGCGTCAAGTGTGTGTGTGTGTGTGTGAACTCGCTTCCATCATGTTTTTCCGATGATAACATTGTCTTATGTCAACTCATATTCAGTGATCTGCATGGTCAAACAAGAAGATTCACTGAGAGCTAGCTATCGACCATTTCATAATCGGAAGCAATCAAGTTGAATGCTTGAACCGTACCTAGTGGAGTTATATGTTGTAGAGGAAGATGTCTTCCCAATTAGGTTGGTAATGCGAATAGTTTGGAGTTAGAACTAGCAGCACCACTCAATGCGTAGTCTGGTCCTTTACCGTCGAGAGGGAATGAGTCGTCGAACAAAATTCTACACAATTGAAAAATATGAATTGTTATAAGAAAAGTGAGAAAGTTTTGAATTATAAAAATTAAAGTGTTTTTTTCTCTTTTAAATTTAAACAACTAATTTAGATAAATAAATAAAGAAAATTAATGAATCTTTAATTTGGTAATTTTGAAATTAGAAGGAAAGTTTATTAATAAAATTGATATGCATTTATTATTGAATATAAATACTATTTACAATTTAATAAAATGAAAAAACCATAAAATAACTCGTGGAGTAAAAATTAATTTAAAATAACAACAAAATTGCATGTGGCAAAAAAAAATGAGAATGTGACATGTGGTAAAAAATATTTATTATTAAGGATGATATATATAGCTCGTGATTAATATTTATTAGTATAGTCACTTGAGTATATCCATAAATTACAGGAGCTTATTTACTAATAAATTATATAAAACTTAGACGTGTAGTTTTAAATATGCAAAACTTAACGAGTGAGCTAATTTTAAGATTTCATCTATATCTATTGTTATTTAAATTGTTTAATATTACATGGGATTCTTAATAAAACTCTAATATTGTTGTAGAGTTAGTGAAATAGTGCTAACTATTCATAATATACTAAATCTTTAGATATTTTAAGATTTTAAAGAAATGAGGATAAAATGGGTAAATTGGTCCACAAACAGTTGTTGTAATAATAATAAAAGTGAACAGGAAGTATATTATGATGTATTGTTATGTAATACTTGAAATATAGGATAAGTGTGAATTACTTATATGATTGTAGGTATTCAGGGCGCTGGACAATCCATTTGAGCTACTTCATTAGTTTTATACTGTGTTTTGTTGCTTCAGGTGAGTTCTCGTGAACTTACTTATCATATGGATTATGTGATATTATATGTGTATGCTACACAACTGAAGGTCCTAGTGCAGGTATGTGGTCTAATATTCAGACCACTGATGGTTCGAGTGTAGGTAGGTGGTGTAATATTCAGACCATTGAAAGTCCTTGTGTGGGTAGGTGGTCAACCACTGAAGGTCCCAATGTGGGTAGGTGGTCCATTCAGGGCAACTAGAGAATAGCCTCTCGGAGGGAAGTTCTAGTTGTGACTAGTGATTATAATTCTAGAATTCGTATGTCTTTAGTTATATATGATAGAATGTAAGTAATATATGACTCATTACTTAATGTATGTGTTCTTATGCGTATTAAATATGATCTATATAATGAGTGAGTGCTGTGATTATCACAATTGCAATGTAATCAACCATTTTATAGGAGACTGCAAATCAAAGAAAGTGAATAATGTTGCATACTACATGGAAAGGGAAAAATAATCTGCTGACAAAGGAAAAGCTTTCTTTCTCAAAGGATAAGAACTAGTCCGCTCTTCTAGAGATGATACCGAAGGATCGTAGAAAATGGGAAAGTTGTGTATGTTGGCAAGGAATGATTCTGAGTGCATTCCAGAAGATCTTTATTCTTCTGGATGATAAGATGAATCAATAGTGAAGGGAGCTAAGAACTACTATTTAATGTCTACGAACTCCTTCGTCTCTAGCCAAAACATCATCGAGCAGGTATAAGTTATGGTTTTTGAAAACAATCTATGTCCAGATATTTGCAAACTTTACCTAGAACAAATTTATATGTCTTTTACAAATGCCTTAGAGATATATCAAATAGCTAAGGTTGACAAAGACTTAGCCTACTAAGAGTTGTATCGAATAAGAGAGCATTTTAAGCAAAAGAAGTTAAGCAGATCGTTTGGAGATAGAACTAGATTTAGAGAAGTGTGCTAGAACCTTAGCTAATAGTAAACATGTTTTGTCCCTTAAATAAAGGGATGTATTAGTTAAGGATAATGTACATTTGAACGGATGAATTGAAAATTTTTATTTTACTTTGAATCAAATTGAGGAAAATGAGCATCTCACAAATAATTTTCAATATCCTTTGTCTAAAGGAGGAGTTCTCAGTACAAAAAGCATACTCCTCTGGAAAAACTAAACGAAAACTATGGAAATTTTATGGGAGATATTCCACGTTTAGAATCTGATGATAAAAGCATTTCACAGTTGACTTTAAGGGAGTACCAGTTTTTAATGAATTTCAAAATGAAGGTTTTGTTCCAAGAACCTTCGTAGTTCCTTCCAAAGTAACTAAAATATTTCATCTTTAAAAAACTACTTCCTAACAGATAAATTCACATGCAACACAACAAATTTAATTCTAAATAACTATGTAATTGAAAAAATTGTTCCAGAAACCTGTGGACATGCTTCTAACCAGTCTGTTGAAATTGGAGGAATTATTTGGGCAAGATCTTCTGATGAAGACGCTTTGGATGAAGAGATTGTCACTTATGATAAACCACTTGAGACAAATAGTTATCCTTCAAAACCTTCACAAACCTCCAAAATTGCTTCTGTCTCATTTACAAAAAAATTCATCTTAGAACCAAAAAGTGTTTCAACTTCTGTTAATTCGAATTCAAGCGACATTTGTTCCACTGTCCCAATTGTCTTTAGTATCTCTAACCATGTAGAAGATGAAAGTTATGTAACTATGAAATAAATCATTTCCTTTGGTCAAAAGAAACCACATGAACCCTCTGATAAATGGAAACCTCAGTTAAATTGTTATGACGTTCTTTCTCCCAGAAACCAAATTTAGACATAAGAAAAGAAACACAAAGGAGTATAACAATAAGTACAAGAAACAATATGATCCATTAGTTGAGAAATCCAAAGCCAAACAACCAACTATTCCAGTTAAGATTTCTTCTAGAGAACCATCACCGAAACCTCTAGAATCTCATCCTAAGGTCATTATAGGAGTGAAAACTCCACCTATGGTACCTATTGAGAAATATAAGCAAATATAATCCACTTCCAAACAAACTATCACTTATAATTGGTAGATTAATGAGACTAACCTTACCTTTTGCATCTATCCAGTCATCCACTCTAGGCGTCACAAATAACATTTATTATCTTTGTCTATTTCAAATTTGTCTATGAAGAAGACCTTCGGCCCGAAAACATCTTGGGTGCCAAAACTAACTACTTAATCTTTTGATGGAATTGTGCCCGGACAAGCGAGATAAGAATTGGTTCATTGATTGTCCTTGTTCCTTACACATGAGGGGAATATTAGAATATTTGTGAGATATCCGAAGAATAAGAAAAATGAAATATATACATGGGTTTTGAGCATAACTACAAATCCTATGTGTTCATGCAACCCTAATGCTTTGGATCTAGGTTTTCACTAGTTGAATATGAAAACTTGAATACAAAAGAGAAACCCTAATATGCATCTATAATAATGGAAATTAACCTAATATTGGGGTTTAGATACATACCTCAATTGTTATGTAGTTATAACAATTAATCCTTGTAGATCTTGAACTCTTAAGAGCAAGTGCCTCAAATGTGACACCTCTAATGGATTCCAAACACTCTTTTCATGAGGATGAGGGGAGAGAGGAGGATATAACACCAAAGTTTCAGCTATACTAGGGTCAGAAGTAAGTGGCTAAAAATACCAAGGGCTAGGATCCTTTTATACTTGAAGGTGCTTAGTCCTAAAGCTAAGGTTTGTAGGTGGAAACCCTAATTTCCTGCTTAAAGCCTAAGCAGCCCATGAACTCCTCATCTAGAAGCCGTGGACAAAAAACTTATAGGGCCTCCCTATAATTTTTGTCCACTCCTATATAAGGTGTCCAATAGCCCTATTTCACAACTATTAATTAATTGCAAAACAACCCCTATACTTTTAATTATTCCTTTAATCCCAAAATTAATTCCAAATTAATTTCTGATTAAATATTAATTAAATAACATTATTTCTAATTAATATGTTACTCTCATAATATATTAATAAATCATTTATATCAATTTATTATTCCAAATAATAAATTTAACTACTCTCCAAAAGTCGTCCTATCAAGTTGTAAGAGTGAAAGCAGCCCAACAGGATTGTGCTTCTATCAGTTCAAGTATATAGCAATAATAGTCTAATGCCTCATTTCTGGTATGTAATTTAAATAAAGTATTTTTCCTTTCCTAAGAGGTACTCGACAAGTCTGTAGATCAACTCGTGAGTAGAGGCGGGATTTGCACGCGTCTTTAGTAGGCAACTCGAGGAGTCTGTATCCCAAACTCGGCGAGTCCACTAGTCTGGATGAAACCCTATTTAAACATCATTATAGCCTCCCACCCCAGCCTCCAGCACCTTTAGAGCATTTCTCTACCCTAATCCCCATTGTTGAGCTTAAGTGTTTTGTGATAACTTAGGAGTTATTGAAGAGAATGAAGGAAAGAGGATCAATAGAAGAGGAAGGAGATCCAAGAACTAGCTTCCATCTGCTTCATACTCAAGTAATAAAGTTATTACCATGCTTATTCCTCCATTAAACCCTCTTTTATGCTTGTTTATGTCTCTTTTGGAGCCTTATGTGATTCAAACTCGAGATTTGAACTCTCCTTAGGATGGAGACTATAGATCTGGATGTTACTGAGCTCTAGAAAATCAATATAGCTACCTTTATGCGAATATAGCCATGTTCCAAACCCTAAGTGCTTAGTGTTGGAGGATTTTGGTGTTTTAGCCCCATTCACTTGTGCGTACACGTAAAGTTGGAAACTTTACGTGCTAAACCAGCCCTAGAATCCCAAATCTATGAATTGGAAGCACTGAGACCGACTAGAAGTGACTGTATAGTAGTGGCATGCAGGAGACTCGGCTAGTCCAAGGCAATATTCTTGCCTCAAGAACAGACTCGACGTGTTGTTCATACAACTCAACGAGTCACAGCCTGGATGTCGACGAGTCGGATGAAGATAGATTCAACGTTAACTCGAAAGTAGAACCCATTGAATTGTTTCCAACCGTGACGATTTGAAGCAAGTAGAGCATTAGAAAAGGCGTTAGGGACTCGGTGAGTTGGCGGACCAACTCGGCAAGTTCGGTCAACTGAAAGTTGACTTTGACTAGGAGGTTGACTTTGACCTGGGGTAAATTAGTCATTTTACCCTCAGAATAGTTATCAGTAGCTGATTTAGTGTCTATGGAATATGTAGCCGGGGATTTCCGGAGCAGCAGTCATCCAACTTCAAATTTAGCATCTCAGCAGCCAGCGTTACGAGGTGTGTTTTCCTTTCAGTGGTTCCGGACTTTGGTCCGATGCAGTAGCCAAGTGTGTTTTCCTTTCATCCAGCGTTACGAGGTGTGTTTTCCTTTCAGCCAGCGTCTACGGCCACAATGTCGGCCTGTTTAGTTAGCAGTAGTTCCAGACTTTGATCCGATGCGGTAGCTTAGTGTGCTTGATTTCTTCGTGATTCAAGCATGTCTTTGTATTATGTGTTCCGGACTTCGATCCGATGCAGTATGCCTTATATGTGTTTATGCTAGTAGTTATGTTATATCATGTTATGTTTAGTTAGTTTCCGGACTTTGGTCTGATGCAGAGGGCAATGCCCTGGTTAGTTCCGTACTTCGATCCGATGCAGTTTCCGGACTTCAGTCTGATGCAGGGGGAAAGACCCTGGTTAGTTCCGGACTTCAGTCCAATGCAGTTTTCGGACTTCGGTTCGATGTAGAGGGCAAGGCCCTGGTTAGTTCTGGAGTTTGGTCTGATGCAGTTTCCGAACTTCAGTCCGATGCAGTGGGCAAGACCCAGTAGTTGCTTTATATGTTATTGCACGGTATGTGATAGACTGGGGGAGCTCACTAAGCTTTGTGCTTACAGTTTCGGTTTTTGGTTTCAGGTACTTTCGTAAGTAATAGGAAGAGCTCGGGATGATGGCATGGCACACACCACAACTTCACTTTATCCTAGGAGTTCTTATTCGGATGTTTTGATATGTTTTGACATCAGTTGATTTGATACATTCACTTTTACACTTGGGACATGTGATTCGTGGTTTTATTAGATGATGATTAACTTCATGGTTTTAGTAATGTTTAAAACAAAAAAAATTTGGTTGTATTTTTAGGACGTTACAAATAGTTATGGGCTTAGACAACTAATCCAAAAGTCTCCTACTCGGATAAGTCTAATAATTATAATTGCAAGTACAACTTCAAAAATTGACCAGCACATTGTAGCTCTCAAAAGCCGCTAGCGAACTATGACCTAATCAGTTACGTGTCCTAAGATTGGGGATCATATAATCCTCCATTCTACATGATATAATGTGGACAAATGACATGGAACATAATCATTCTCGTTGTGCAATAGTTTGTTTCTCGATTTCTGATTTGTAGTGACAGAGAAGTTAATTGAACACATCAATGAAGTCATGACCGGCCACGACACATAAGTCAATACCAAATCACTGAGGGGCCCAAGATATCGCTTTTTCCCTTTGGGCGAAAGGAAAAGATAAACTTTGACTTATATGTTTGTACTATTTACTCATCAAATCGTACACAATAATACGTTTTATAACATCAAGTTACTGATGCGTTTACGCATTATCAATGCACAACCAAATCGTAAACAACAACTCATGTATCTTCGTTTAAAGATTATACGATATTATTGTATCATAATTACTCAGGGTAAATTCCATGAAGTAATTCTATGAGCGTGGTTTAATCCAATACTCAAATCTTCATTTCAGAAGTACTCATGAATATTGCAGCAAACCATTGCTATGTCTAAGCACTTAGACAGTCTACAATCCAATTCATGACAGTCTTAATTCACTACTTTCATCCAAAGTATGATCGACTGTGTAAGTTTTGAATAACCTAATTATTCGAAAAGTAAAACATGAAAAGTTGAAACACAAGATAAATAATTGACAAAAGATAGTAAACACTACTCATAAATAAATCTCCATTTATTCAATCATCAAATGTCAATTACATTTATTTGTTACAAGTTTCTAAATATCTATTTAATCGCTAAAATTAATATCATCCTTCAGTCCAATGCTCCTTGCATGCTGAACATGCTTAATCCTACTTAGACCCTTTATGAGGGGATCGACAAGATTTTCTTCTGATGATACGCTCTTAATAACAAGGTTTCCTTCTTCTACTCAGTGTCTAATAAAATGATATTTTCTGTTTATATTGTTGGGTTTTGAGCAATCTAACACTTCCTAAGTGTGCATGCAACCCTAATAAACCTTGGATATATGTTTGTCTAAATACATGCAAAATAATAATTTTCCAAGGTTCATAACCTATCTAACATGGCATGGGGTACTTTTAAACATAAAAGAATTAGATGAGATTACATACCTTTTTGATGAGTTTGATTCTTAAGGAGTTTGAGGGCCAAGCACCAATAGTGTGAATGCCTCAAATGGAATCACAAATCACCACAAACTCTTGGAAAACTTTGAGAGAGTGTATACACACTACAATTTTCGGCCACACACAAACACACACACTAGTGGCTATTTCATGCAACAAAAGCATGCTTATATAGTGTACATGATTAGGGTGAAACCCTAATAACCCATGACCTTTTCTTTTCCAAGGATCCATGGGTTAAAAGTTTCCATGGATCATCCATGGACTTCCACACAAGCCTAGCCCATTAACAAATGAGTGTT